AACCAACACTCTCCAAGGGGAATTATCACAGTGCTTAATTGTTGCTGTTCTTGACCTACTTGGTGTTGCTGCTTGGTTAGGTCTTGAGTGTTGATACCCTTATTCCTTCCCATTATCTTGCTTTTTGCCCTTCCACTGTGGTTTCTGATTGCTTGCACTGGCTTGACTACTAATCCAACATTGAGTGTTTGAAAGGCTTTCTCAGGTGCAGAGTCAGCTGCCTCTCGAGGCCTTTGATAAAAGCCTTAAGGATGCATCCCCTCTTGTTACACTGAAGTTTCAGTGTCTTTGGTTTTCTTCTTGACACTCACTATTGGATCATAGAGTTTAGTCAAACTAATCAAGTTTTTTGCACAATTCTTTCATTAGCAGTTCCTCACCATATGTTTTCATCTTGTTACACATCAAACAGCTAGTGAAGTTCTTTTACAGCTCATTTATCCACATTCTGTATACTCAAAATCTCTTCTAAGGACGAGTTTTATTTCTACTTTTAGTGTCTCCTCTGTATTCTTGCTGTAAACTCCCAAGCTCCCTTTGCAAGTCTCTTCAATTTGCTATCCTGGAAACTTGGTGTCTGAGACAGCACTTGAATGATTCAAGTGCTCTAGCATCCTCCATCCGATTCTGCTTCAGTGATTTGACGTTGTAATTTCTGTGGATCCTCCTCTAGAGCATCGATCTCCATCTCAGGTCAGTTCATCCATGTCTGAACCAATATCCCATGACATAGGATTTGAAATGGTTTGTCTTATTATTCTCCAAAAATATAATTCTCCCCACAAAGACTGGAGCTTTTAGCTCACCTGCTACTGCATGCGATCCTTTCATTTACCAGAAATTGTTTGTTGATTATTGTTATAGAAGACCTACGTTGGTGCTCCCAAAGATTTTATCTTGCACAGATTACGCCCCGAACAGTCTGTACGATCAATAACAAAGCTCTGAGGGCCATGATAAAAGTTTGTATTATTTTATTGTGTTTTTTGATTGAGTGTTTGAATCGGTTTCTTGGGATAGGATAGTAGAGAAATGAAAAAGAAGCAACTTGGAGATTGGTTCAGCTATGCAAATATGCTCACTTATGCGCGGAGAGGGTTTGACACAGACATTAAATTCCATCACCTTACTTTCTAAAAAGGTGATGATAGAGGCTTAACAACCATTAAGCCTTACTACTGAGATAACTTAACCCTGACGGGGTTAAACATTTACTATGGGGCTACACTTGCACCACCACTCTCACAAACATTTAAAACTAAAACTAGGTTTGAGATCAGACAACCCTTCTTTTCTTTTCTTCTTCTTCGATTGCAGATGACATCCTTTGCTCGGGTATTCTTGCTGCCTTCGAACTCCCCAGACTCCAGGACTGGTTAGCTTCAACAACATACAGAGGTGAGCGTCACGACGTGCAAATTCGCACTTTCGAAATTAGATTTTTAGAATGCTTTCGTATTCATACAGTGTGGAAATGCCGAAAAGCAGTATCTAAATTCTTAAGATAATGTAGTATATTTTGATGGTTGTGGTAAGCAGACGCTGCTGGGTAGGTCAAATAACTTTTTCCATCACATGAATATCTTGCATTATATGACAACACCTATAATACCTTAATGAATTACAATTCATAGGCACAGCATCGTATAGACATTACTAAGAAGCCACTGCCTTCATCTTGTCCTCCTAATAAGGCATACACTGCATGCAACCATAATGAATAACTCTTATTGATTAGTTTATGGACAAGCATTATGCATCCTACTAGACGCAAACAACTTTCTTTATGTCTCTAGTCCACTAGATTTTGTTTTGACAAACTCATGAGGGTACTCATATTGATCGGTTAACAGATAAACATTATGAATGTTGTTGGGCTTAAACAACTTTCTATTTATGTTTTCAGTCCACTGAATCATGTTTTGACAAACTCATGATAGTATAATTGATTGATAGTTTTTATTTTTTTGTTAAAAAAAGAAAAGAAAAAAGATTGATAGATAAGCATTATGCATGCACGGTCAACAGCTGAGCGGCAAAATCCTGGAAATATATATTTTCTGGTTGCTAATAAAACTCGTCATGCTTTCATGGAATTAAAGTTGAAACCTATCCTCGTATAAGCATTCAACCTAAATCAATTGATGTTACATGTGGCATGTCAATTATATAATAATCCAATGGCTCAAATTTATGTTGCATGTGGCATATAAGATAATAAGATGCAAAAGAAGATGCCAAGTTTGTTAACCCACTGAGATTGATTCTATGATGTGGTCCTGACATCGTTTTCGCCTGCGCATTCCGAGGGGGTTGTGGGACAAGATTGGGACATGTTCTAAGACCAAACCCCACAAGGAGGAAGAGGGAGAAGCAACTTGAGGAATGTATGCTGAGATGGGGCAACTGGAGGTGGAAGAAGTGGAGGCTGCTGGGTTATCGGTGAGAAGTTTGTAGGGTTTAGGGTGGAGGCATTGGTTGTGACAAAATTGTCCTTGGTTGTAAATAAGTTTCCATTTGCTGTTGGGGTTCCAGAGACGGTGCAGAATGATTGGAGGATTTCCTTATCATGATTCCTTAATTTAACCGAACATTTGAAATGGAAATAACACAACCAATACATTCAAGAATAATTAAGGAATTGAATTCAGTTACTATTCCCATATTAACATTCAAGTCGAACAAACGAGGCCATATTGATCGGTTGATGGAACTCATGTACTCTTATTGGCGATAAGCATTATGCATGTTACTAGGCGCAAACAATTATCTATTTGTCTTCAGTTGACTGGATCCTATTGACAAACTCGTGACAATTCTCTTATTGATCGTTGATGAATAAGCATTACACATGCTGCTTGGCGCAAACAACTTTCTATTTATGTCTCCAACCCTCTGACTTTTGTTTTGACAAAATTGTGATAGTGCTCATATTGATCGGTTGGTGTATAAGCATTAAGCATACTGCAATGCGCAAAAACACTTTCTATTTATGTCTTCGGTCCACCGAATCCTATTTTGACAAACTCATGATAGTACTCCTATTGACCGATTGATGGATAAGCATTACGCATGTTGCTTGGCGCAAACAACTTTCTATTTATCCCTCCAGCCCACCGAATTCTGTTTTGACAAAACCATGAAAGTACTCCTATTGATCGGTTGATGTATAGGTATTACGCATGCGCAACCAGCAGCTGAGCGGCAAAATACCGCAAATATGTATATTATAGGAGCTAATAGAACTCCGCATGCTTTCATGGAAAGAAAGTTGAAACCTATCTACATATAAGCATTCAACCGAAACCAGTTGGTGTTGCATGTTGCTTATCAATTATATTCTAATCCAATGGTTCAAATCAATGTTGCATGTGGCAGATAAGATGTAACAGAGAGTGAAAGTTTCCTAACCCACTGAGATTGGATTCTCTAACGTGGTTCTGACATCGTTTTTCACCTGCGCATTCGGAGGGGTGTGGGACAAGATTGGGGCATGTTCTAAGACCAAAGCCTACAAGGAGTTAGAGGAAGAAGCACTGCTGTTTGATGGGCTGGTTGGGATAGATTGTGACCAATTAAAATTGATTTGAGTCTAGTTTTTTATTTGCTATGTAAAAATGTAAAAAGGACATAACTGATATGATGGGTTATGAATCCACAATAAAGCATGTTATCTAATCTTTTATGATGCATGAGTTACGAGTAATGTCTTACATGTCCCTATCAATCCAATCATATTCCTAAGACTCAATCTCATTCAGCCTACCAAACGAGACATTAGGGAATGGATGCTAATATGGGGCAGCTATAGAGGTGGAAAAGTGGAGGCTGCTAGAGTTACTGGTGAGAAGTTTGTGGGGTTTAGGGTGGAGGCAATGGATGTAACTAAATTGGATGTGACTTGATTGTCCTTAGGCTCCCGTTAGATATGCTCTTACGATTCACCTACATGACTAACTACGGGTTTGTGATTAGAGTAATTTTACTAGAGAAGAGAAACTTGCATACACCAGATTGTAAATCACTTGTTCTTACAGCATGCCCAACACCAGGATGTGTGGTAAAGGAACAATGGGGCACACACCTCACCAACGAGACCTCGAGACATGCAAGTCTTTCTCCTGCAAGAGAACGAGTAGTCATATTCCACTATTTCGAAACAGGACACTAACAAAATCCGAAAGCACCATCTCATTCTCAATCAATTATGGACTGCCTACATACAAAACTCGAACACGAAAGTAAACAAAATCGATAAAAAAAGCCATAAACTTCATGAAAAGTAATAATCATAATTATGCAGACAGCATTCCATGGCGGAAATGGAACAATAATGGGTTCAAAGTTAACCAGAAAAGAAACAGAGCATCTTTGAACAGGAAATCATATAGCCAAAAACTAGATTCTCCAAAAATAAAACCTACTTCAAAGCTACAAGTGAACAAAAGAAAGAAGCATACCTCGTCTCAGCAAACAAACCACGGGCAGGAACAGAAAAACAAGGCAATTCCAACCAAGTGCAATGTGATACGGAGATCCAGAGAACAAAACAGTCAAGCGGTTATTCAACTCATCAAGAATGGAACTCTCCCAATCATGTATCGAAAAAGAGCAGATCCTGCCAGAAGGAACTCTCACACCAGTGTGCTCTGTATAAGATGTGGGGCTTTTATGTTGAGTTAAATTGCAGATGGCTTGTTCTGGCCGAAAATACTTAAAAAAAATTTAGGTAAAAACTATCATGTCCAATTAGTAACACAGAAACCCATATCATGGATCGAAAAGACCAGATCCTGCCAAAAGGTTAATAACATTAATATAGCAGGAATGGCAAAGTAAGAGATATCATGCGTCAAAGTAACTTACAAGAGAAAATTTAGCCGGTTCACTCCCATTTACTAGTAAAGATACAGAAAACAGGGCAGCCAAAAGTACATTCTACTTATAGGACCACTTCTACTTTTTGATTAAGTAACTCTTATGGAGAATGCCTTCCACTTGTAGCGTCCCCCTCCTTATCACCACTAAGTTCCAATGGTCCATCAACATGTGCACTAACCAGAATAGATAAAAATCATAAAACCCTAGCTCTCTATAAATACCCTAATGAGGGCGTGTGTCCTCCACAAGCAATCAATATCCTAATCTCTCTTCCTTCCTTTTCATACCAAATCACACTTGAAAGCTTCATACATGGCTTCCCAACGTGACCAAACTTTACCTAACCACATAGAAATTCCAGTTCATGGAAATATGACTGATCAACCAAGACAATCTCCAATTCCCGGAGGTGACGAAGATGACACCTTCGATTACTCCCAGAGGACACAGTGGCTTCGCGCCACCATGTTGGGAGCCAATGACGGGCTGGTTTCTGTTGCATCGCTCATGATGGGCGTGGGAGCTGTGAAACAAGATGTGAAGACCATGCTAATAGCCGGGTTTGCAGGTCTCGTGGCCGGGGCGTGTAGTATGGCAATAGGAGAGTTTGTCTCTGTGTACACTCAGTACGACATAGAGATATCTCAAATGAAGAGAGAGATGAAAACAAATGGTAGGACAGAAAATGTAGAGGAGGCAAAGAAGAAGATGCTGCCGAATCCTGCGCAAGCCGCCTTGGCGTCAGCCATTGCGTTTTCGATTGGCGCGGTGGTGCCTCTGTTGGGAGCTGCATTTATAAGTGAGCATAAGGTGAGGCTGGCCGTAGTGGCGGCTTTGGTGAGCGTTGCGCTGGTTGTGTTTGGAGGGGTAGCAGCGAGGCTGGGGGGGTCATCGGTGGTGAAGTCTTGTGCAAGAGTACTTGTTGGAGGATGGATGGCAATGACTATAACTTTTGCACTCACCAAGTTAATTGGGTCTAGTGGTATGCAGGTGTGATAAATTACATGTTTGTTGTTGTCGTTGTGTTTAATTTCTGTTCTTGTTGAAGTTGCTGGTATTGCTAGTGGTGGTTTTGCAGCTGTTGCCAACACCATTTGCATAGAGGCAGACATGTAAAATCATAGTGTAATTAAGGTTAACGACTTATTTGTGATTGTTTCTAGAAAGGTAAGCAGTTTTCGGCAACGATAAGTGCTTCTGTCTACTTTGACGACAAATGTTAAAAGTTCTTTGGAAAACTACATACCAATTCGAAGTTTAATAAAATCTTCAACATGATTTAAAAAAACAAAAAAATCTAGGAAAACTGCTTATGAGCAGATAACTTGCACTAACCCTCCAGTCATATAGTATCCATCAAGCCCCATATACGAGGGAGAGGATTGCATGCTCTCACTAATTTAGCGCCACTCTTGTAGGAGAAAAATTTGTATATACTTTTCGTTTATAATACTCATCAAGTGATCACCAACCCCTCTTCTCCACATCACTCATACATCACATGACCAGATCACGTGATTTTGTACAGTTACAAGAGAGTATACACTTGGGACTATGTAAGTTTTTTCCTTGCTAGCAAACAGTTAGTTGTTGACTCATGAATGTTCAGTTGCAGAAACCCTAGCCAGCTCATGATCCTGCACGCAATGAACACTGAAGATTTTAAAAGTTTTTCAAAAGTTTCTTTTGCTGGACATACAGAGGTGGCGTACGTACGTGCAATATTTGCACTTTCGAAACCCCTAATGCACTTTTCAGATGCTATTAGTATTACAGAAGAGTGTGGGAATGCAAAAGCAGTGAAACCTAACACTTCTCAAGATAATGTGTATGTTGATCGGTTGGTGGATAAGCATTACGCATGCTGGTAGTAACAAATAACTTTTTATCCAATCCATTGAATTTTGTTTTGACAAACTCATGATAGTACTCTTATTGATTAGTTTATAGACAAGCATTATGCATCCTGCTAGGCGCAAACAACTTTCTTTATGTATCTAGTCCACTAGATTCTGTTTTGACAAACTCATGAGAGTACTTATATTGATCGGTTGACGGATAAACATTACGAATGTTGTTTGGCTTAAACAAATTTCTATTTATGTTTTCAGTCCACTGAATCATGTTTTGACAAACTCATGATAGTATAATTGATCGATAGATTTTTACTTTTTTGTTATAAATAAAAAATAAATAAATAAATAAAGATTGATAGACAAGCATTGTGCATGCGCGGCAAGCAGCTGAACGGCAAAATCCTAGAAATATGTATTTTTTGGTCACTAATAAAACTCGTCATGCTTTCATGGAATTAAAGTTGAAACCTATCCTCCTATAAGCATTCAACCTAAATCAATTGATGTTACATGTGGCATGTCAATTATATAATAATCCAATGGCTCAAATTCATGTTGCATGTGGCGTATAAGATGATAAGATGCAAAAGAAGATGTCAAGTTTGTTAACCCACTGAGATTGATTCTATGATGTGGTCCTGACATCGTTTTCGCCTGAGCATTCCGAGGGGGAGTTGTGGGACAAGATTGGGACATGTTCTAAGACCAAAACCCACAAGGAGGGGGAGGGAGAAGCAACTTGAGGAATGGATGCTGAGATGGGGCAGCTGATGGTGGAAGAAGTGGAGGCTGCTGGGTTATCGGTGAGAAGTTTGTAGGGTTTAGGGTGGAGGCATTGGTTGTGACTAAATTGTCCTTGGTTGCGAATAAGTTTCCATTTGCTGTTGGGGTTCCCAGAGAGGGTGCAGAATGATGGAGGATTTCCTTATCATAGTTCCTTAATTTAACCAAACATTTGAAATGGAAATAACACAACCAATACATTCAAGAATAATTAAGGAATTGAATTCAGTTACTATTCCCATATTAACATTCAAGTCGAACAAACGAGGCCATATTGATCGGTTTATGGAACTCATGAAGTACTCTTATTGATGGTAAGCATTATGCATGTTACTAGGTGCAAACAACTTTCTAGTTATGTCTCCAGTTGACTGGATCCCATTTTGACAAACTCGTGACAATTCTCTTATTGATCGTTGATGAATAAGCATTACGCATGGTGCTTGGCGCAAACAACTTTCTATTTATGTCTCCAATCCACTGACTTTTGTTTTGACAAAATCGTGATAGTTCTCATATTGATCGGTTGGTGGATAAGCATTAAGCATATTGCAATGCGCAAAAAACTTTCTATCTATGTCTTCGGTCCACCGAATCCTATTTTGACAAACTGATAGTACTCCTATTGACCAATTGATGGATAAGCATTACGTATGCTGCTTGGCGCAAAACTTTCTATTTATGCCTCCAGCCCACTAAATTCTATTTTGACAAAACCATGATAGTACTCATATTGATCGGTTGATATATAAGTATTATGCATGCGCGCCCAGCAGCTGAGCGGCAAAATCCTGCAAATATGTATATTATCTCTACTAATTAATAAAACACTTATTGTCAACCAAAACCCTATGAAATGATCAGTTTAACCCTCTAATTAAAACAGAACATAAATAAGAAATATAGGTGGAAGAAGCGGAAGAAGTGGAGGCTGCTAGAGTTACTGGTGAGAAGTTTGTGGGGTTTAGGGTGGAGGCAATGGATGTGACTAAATTGGATGTGACTTGATTGTCCTTGATGAGGGGCCTTACATAAATAAGGTTCCATTTGTTGATGGGGTTCCAGAGAGGGTGCAGAATAATTCTCTCTATTGGTGCTTGCCAGGGCCTGTTGACGTATGGAATCAGATTCTGTTGGAGGATATGAAGAAAGGGAATCAGGGGAAAATACTTTTTCGGTTTTATTGCTGGAAGGGCCAGAGACAAGGATTTTAAATGTTAAGCGAGTTCCACGGGATCCTTTTCCACCTAATCCACCTAGTTCGGGATTCGGACCGTTAGAATTTAATCAAACGACTACAGTTATTATCACTTTTAAAGAAAACCCCCTATTTGTAACCGTTGGATCAAATTTCAACAACCCGGATCCTACCGGTCCGGATCCATGGATCAGTGGATAGGCCACGCTGGCCAAGCCTTGTACTGGGGCTACTTTGGCCTCGTAAGGTGCCTATGCATCAATTTGACTAGGCAAATTTTGTCGGACTAGAATTTTGTTTCAATTTTGGAGCAAGATTATTAATTTCGAAACAGGACACAACGAGACCTCGAGACCTCACCGACGAGACCTCGAGGCATGCAAGTCTTTCTCCTGCTAGAGAACGAGTAGTCATATTCCACTATTTCGAAAAAGGACTCTTAACAAAATCCTAAAGCACCATCTCATTCTCAATCAAATACGGACTGCCTACATGCAAGACTCGGAACACGAAAGTAAAGAAAATCGATAAAAAAGCCATAAACTTCATTAAAAGTAATAATCATAATTATGCAGACAGCATTCCACGGCAGAAATGGAACAGTAATGGGTTCAAAGTTAACCAGAAAAGAAACAGAGCAGCTTTGAACAGGAAATCATATGACCAAAAACTAGATTCTCCAAAAATAAAACCAAATTCAAAGCTACAAGTGAACAAAAGAAGGAAGCATAAGAACCTCGTCTCGGCAAACAAACCACGGGCAGGAACAGAAAAACAAGGCAATTCCAACCAAGTGCAATGTGATACGGAGACCCGGAGAACAAAACAACCGAGCAGTTATTCAACTCATCAAGAAAGGAACTCTCCCAATCATGTATCGAAAAAGAGCAGATCCTGCCAGAAGGAACTCTCACACCAGTGTGCTCTGTATAAGATGTGGGACTTTTACGTTGTGTTAAATTGCAGATGGCTTGTTCTGGCCGGAAAAGACTTTCAAAAAATTTAGGTAAAAACTATCGTGTCCAATTAGTAACACAGAAACCCATATCATGGATCGAAAAGACCAGATCCTGCCAAAAGGTTAAAAACATTAATATAGCAGGAATGGCAAAGTAAGAGATATCATGCGTCAAAGTAACTTACAAGAGAAAATTTACCCGGTTCACTCCCATTTACTAGTAAAGATACCGAAAACAGGGCAGCCAAAAGGACATTCTACTTATAGGACCACTTCTACTTCCAAGTAACAAGAAGCAAACTCCCAATAGCGGACCCCTCACAAACTATCCCCGGACATACCACACATCAAATGACCTTCCAATATCGCAATTGCCAATGCAAAACAGTCAACAGGAACCAAATGACCTTCCAATAATTCAAGTGCCCAAGCAAAACAGTCAACAGGAACAGACAGCAATCATAGCATTTGCAGTCACCGATGCATGAAAGTCACAGACAACCACCAGTCGTAATGGAATTCATAGAGTATAAGGCCAAATTGAAATATCATTTGCAAGCAAGCATAAAATTCCACCGGATCAAACATTCGGTCGAGCATTTAGCAACAAAAAACAGGTGATACACTTCAAAGATCCGCACTTCAAAATACTGGTCCAACTAAATTAATCCACCCAGAAAATCATCAGAGAACACATCCAGCAACAAAAACTTCAAAGCATTGCAGACAGTGACAGTCAGCCGAGCAGCTCCTCAGGTTCCTAAGCTGCAATTAGCACATCAACAAAATTACCTTCAGTACAATACTAATTGTGAAAAGCATAAAAATCATTAAACAAACGTGAGTTTTACGTACCACTATCAGAAGCAATTATTCTATCCTGAACGGAAGCCTCCTGTACTCCGACGTTCATATGGCCCAGAGCGGTCACGACTATATCGATCACTTCCAGAACCTGCACGACTACCAGAATCCCTGCTGCGCCCACTAGATGGTCGGTCTCCATTTCGCTCAGGTCCATAACGACCGCTACCACCGCCGCCGCCGCCGCTGCTACCATACCTATCATCCCTACCACCATACCTGCCACCCCCTCCTCTTGAACCTTCACTTGGACACTCTCTGGCAAAATGTCCTGGCTTGCCACACTTAAAGCAGTCTCCTCCACCTCCACGTCCACCTCCACCACCAAAGTCGCGACCACGATCACGATCACGACCGCGGTCACGACCACGGTCACTGTCAAAATCTCTACCTCCACCACCTTGGTGAGGCTGAGCCTTATCAACAGTGATGGTTCGTCCATCCAAATCCAATCCATTCATTTCCTCAATGGCCTCTTCCATTGCTTTTTTATCATCAAAGGTGACAAACCCAAATCC